ACTTGAGGATAGCTGAGGGACTGGAAATTGGTAAAGGGGATTTTACTTCTTCTTACCCTTCAATAAAAATTCATTTCTAAAATGTCATAAGTCTCTAATGAGAGGCCCCGGTTTGGGCGGACTTTCATAGAATGATTCTTCAACAGAATCAAGATAATATTGACATCAGCTTCCTTGATAGTTGATTCTTTTCCTTTTTTCCCAGGAGGGAAGAATAAAAAAAGGACCAAAGTAATTCATAAAGATAAAATGCTAGCTCTACTTGAGTTCTAGTCTTGGAGGCAAGTGGAGCATCTAATTCCAGATGAACCATTTTTAAAAAAAAAATTGAGCCAGCATCTTGCTCTGTCACCCAGGCTGAAGTGCAGTGGTGTGATCTCGGCTCACTGCAATCTTTGCCTCCTGGGCTCAAGAGATCCTCCCACCTCAGCCTTCTGAGTAGCTGGGACTATAGGCATGCACCACCACGCCCAGCTAATTTTTGTATTTTTAGTAGAGATGGAGTTTTGCCATGTTGCTCAGGCTGGTCTCAAGCTCCTAGACGCAAGCGATCTGTCCGCCTCGCCCTCCCAAAGTGCTAGGATTACTTACAGGCATGAGCCAACGCGCCTAGTCTCCAGATGAAACTTTTAATATTGGTGTGGACTTGGGCATGTGAATCAAACTCTTTGAGCCTCAGACTCCTCATCTATAAAATGGGACTGATAATCTCTACTTGTGAAGTGAGACAATGGACGTGAAGTTTCAAGTACAGTAGGCCCATAGTAGGCACTCAATAAAAAGATAGCCATATTGATTCTCCTGAACTTTCCATCCCCACTCCCTCTGCTCCCATTGGCTTCCTGAGGACATGCCCTTCCTCTGCAGGCTGCTCTTGCTCTCCCCTCACCCGTGGTGTCCTGGCAGTCACAGCACTCCTGGGCACTGGTGGGATCGGAGGTGTTGCAGCAGTGGAGGCAGCGGCTGTCGTCCACGTGCAGCACCAGGTTGGCGGGGCACAAGGTGCAGTTCTTGGCCCCTGGTCCCTTGCATTCCATGCAGCTCTCGTGGCATTTTTCACAGTTAAACTTCTCTCCCTGGTAAGAGCAATCAAGAGGTTCCGTCTGAGTGCAGAGGGATTAACAAGCACTGGAGTTCCCAGATGGTATTTCATCTTGTCTCCATAAGGAGGGAGGTGTGTGGGGGACAGCAGAAGGATGGTGTGTTCTGAGCCCATTTTAACTGTGCTGGGTGAAAGAACCCACTGTCTGTGATGGGGTGGAATCATGACTGTGCCCTGCCCTTTGAGATCTGCTAATAACAGTGGGAGAACAGACGTCTAGAACAGTTTGGGTTAGGAGCTGACAGCTCCTGTGCTCAAGGACAGCTCCTGTGCTTAAGGACAGCTCAGGTCAAGGACTAGTTTTGTCTGGCCCACACTGTTGACTTTCAGTTTAAAATATTTTGCATTCATTTCCCACATCTCAAAAGTGGGATATTTCACATGTAAATTCGTTCCTAATTTCTCTTTAGACACTAGAAGACCTGTCAACACTGGATTCGTCACTCCCATGTGGCAATGGCCCCCCTTTCCACTCTTCTATTTGACACAATTCCCAGCACTTGCTATGATGTCACCAACATGTAGGTGATACATCCATTTCTACTTTCCTTCAAGCTTCAAGCTTACACTGTGGTTTTCTTTGACCCAGCATTTATGTTTGTGACCTGCTTGGCCCTCTGTGGTTACTGGATTACTGTGGTCAGGCCCCAGAATAATATAGATTGTGGCTGTGTAGCTCAAGTAGTTACATCTCTTTAGGAAGACAGTGGAGAGATGAGAAGAAAGTGGCTTCCCTCCTGACAAGTTGCTCCTTGACTGGTGCTGGAAATGTGGGTTAGGGAAGGTGCCTTCCTGTTTTACTTCTGTAACTTTGGAAGTATGGTATGACAGTAAAAGAAGGAATGAAAATTGCTTTTGTTGAGCACCTTGGCATGTTTCAGGCACTGACAAGGTGCTTTCTCAGCTGTTACTATCTCATTGAATCCTGCATCTCACATATTATCTCATCCTTCAGGTTTAATCCCAGCTTTGTTACTTACCACTCATATAATTTTTTTTTTTTTTTTTTTTTTTGAGACAGGGGCTTACTTTATTGCCCACGCTGGAGTGCACTGGTGTGATCGGATTCAAGCAATCTTCCTGCTTCCGCCCCACATATAGCTGGGACTACAGGCATACACCACCATGTCCAGCTAATTTTCTTTTTTTGTATTTTTTGTAGAGATGGGGTTTCACCATGTTGCCCCGGCTGTACTCATATAATCTTTAACACATTATTTAACCTCTTTGAGCCTCAGTTTCTCTAAACTGTAATGAGGGCTGTTGCCAGAATTTAAAGAGAACTCATACGTAAATATATTAGTTTGTGTTAATGTCATCATGGGGAAATTTACTTATTTTCTAAAGTTT